CCACCGCTGACCTGGGTTGGAATCCAGGCCCTGCCGTCTCTCAGCTGGGTGACGTGGTTAGAGACTGACCTCCCTGGGCCCAATTTCCTCAACCTAATTCTGTCACTGGTCCCCACCAGATATCCTTGGACTAATCCTTTCCCCTCTCAGGCCTCAGCTTCCTCATCTATAAAACCTTCAAAGTTTGGGAGGCTTGGACTTCCCTGGTGGCGCAGCGGTTAAGAATCTGCCTGCCAATGAAGGGGACACGGGTTTGAGCCCTGGTCCGGGAAGATCCCACATACCACGGAGCAACTAAGCCTGTGCGCCACAACTACTAAGCCTGTGCTCTAGAGCCCACAAGCCACAACTACAGAGCCCTCGTGCCACAACTACCAAAGCCCGTGTGCCTAGAGCCCGTGCTCCGCAACAAGAGAAGCCACCACAGTGAGAAGCCCCCGCATCACAACAAAGAGTAGCCCGGGGTCGCTGCAACTAGAGAAAGCCCGCGCGCAGCAACGAAGACACAACACCGCCAAAAATAAAATTAATTAATTAATTAAAAACAAAACAAAAAGCCCCACAAAGCTTGGGAGGCTCTGGGAGGCCTTTCCTGATATCCCAGAGATTGATAAGGGTCATTCACTGCCCACCAACACCAGCTCTGGGCCCAGCCCTGAGTGAAGTCACATGGGTCATCACAACCCAGTGTGACAGGAGCTCTGAAGGAAGGATGCTCACAGGTGACAGCTGACCTGTCTGGGGCATCAGGGAAGGCTTCCTGGAGGAGGTGACTGCTGGGACTCATCCATCCACCCTTTCACCCAACAGAGGCCTTCTAAGCCCTGTGCCAGGCCTGGTGCTGCGTTCTAGGGGTCAGAGCTGACAGACCCTGCCTTGGAGAAGCCCACACATGGGAAACATCACCGTAGTGTGACGTGGGCTAAACGAGGGCTGTATGGGCCTGGGGAGGGCAACAAATGGGGCGGTCATCTGTAAAACCCAGGGGCTGCCCTGGAGGCCCGGTAGAGTTCACTCCAGCTCTGCACATCCATGAGTTTACCTCAAGCAACTTCAGATCCTGTCAAAATGCAGATCATCAAGAAAGCACTGATTTATCCTCAGCTTTGCTCAACGTCTTTTGCAATGTCTGAGGCACCTCGTTCTGGCTACAGCAAGCCCCCTGCCAGCGTTAAGCTGACCACATGTGGCCCCAGGCTGCTCCCTGGACACACAGTGGCTGCACACGTGGAAGCCCCATCATCACCATCACACGTGAACTGACCACATGGCAAGATGGCCTTGAAGGCGTGTGAGAAACCGTCCCCGGAAGGGGGTTCCGGCTGCTTCAGGTGCCAGGTTTCCTAAAGGGTTTTCCTCAAGCAGCAGGAGTTTCAAGGCAACACAGTGAAGGGTACGAAAGGCTCACTCAGTCCCACATGGCGGGGCCATAGGCTGATTTCATCCTGGGGAGAGCTAGGGAGGCTGTGGCAGCCACATTCTCTGGACCTGCTTTGCTGAGAATCTGTCCTGTGTGTTTACCACAGTAAACAGCAAAGTCTATCAGATCTCTAGGACAAGGCAACTCATTTCCCCCTAGACTCCAACCCCACACTCTGCAAAACCCACACCAGCTCTGGACCTGCAGATAAAGGGGCCCAGGGAGGGAAAGCAGGTTTCATCTAAAGTAGAAACGGCCGTCTGGAGGGTCTGGTGATTGATTATTGATGTCTGCTAGGGGAGAAGGTGGCAGCACAGTATTTGCCAGTCCTGGGGTAGGGTTAGTAGAACAAAGGAAAGCCTTCTGTCACTCGTATCTTTTACTGCACATTCTTGGTAAATGGTCATCTGTGAATGGCACACACGTCTGTATGTCTCTGTGGGGATATGGATATATGCATACGGTTTATCCGAATAGTCAATGAACCAGAACACCCCATTTCCCAGCTGGGAGTTGTTGGAAAGACAAGGCTTCACCCCTTTCACATACTGGACAACATTATGATCATCGATATCATCAACAGCTTCATCTTCATCATCAATATCACTATCATCAGCGTCATCACTGCTAGCATCACCGTTGGTACCACCATCACCGCCATCATCGTCACGGTAACAGCAGCTGATGCTTATGCGGTGTGTCCTCTGTGTCAGGCTCTGTTCACATGCTTTATACACATTAATTCACTTAATTCTCACACCATCTTTATGAGGTCGGACTATTATTGGCTCTATTTCACAAATAAACAAAAGAAGGTCTACTAACTTGTCCAGGCTACACAGGCAGGATTTAAACCCAAGCAGTCTGGCTCCAAAGGCCACGCTTTAACCACTATGTTCAACTGAATACTGACCGTTCATTCCCTCTTAGAACAGAGAGCCCCAGATAGCAATAATTGTGTGCAGAAATGGCAGCGTGGAGAAACGGGCCCACCAAACTTGGGCTCTAGTCCCAACTCAGACAAGACCCCTGCCTTCTCAGGCCTCCATTCCTCCACCTGTGAGCCAGGAAGTGAACACCTGGATGACCCCCAAGGCCCTTTAGGCAACTACTGCCCAGGGCCTGCAAGTCCCTCCAGATTCCATGGCCTCCAGAAATCTCTGCAAGCTCCTCCTGGGGAAGCCAGTGGGGGTCTGATGGCCCACGGGTGAGCCCTCCAGAGGCTCCACCGGTTCTGACCGACGACTGTAGGTGGGTCCCCCAGGATGAGAAAACCTCAGTGCAAGTGGGACAGTGTCCACTCAGGTCCCCGGAACGCACAGCAGCGCTCATTCACAGAGCGCTTCGGGAGCAAGTGGCGAAACGGCCTCTCCTTCGGCGCTTGACGGTTGCTCTCCGGGCTGTCCACACGGCAGCCCAACAGCTGCTGAATTACCGCCTGTACAATCCTCACCGGTTCTTTAAGAATTTCCACTGATACATAATTTCAGCTCATGTACCCCAACTAGGCTTGAAGGTCCTTTAGGGGAGGGACCAGGTTGCACCATAGCTATCACCTCTGAGGTATACAGCAGTGGGCGATTTTCAAAGGTCTTCACCATACGTGATGTCATCTGAGCCTAAAACCACTGCGAGAGGCGGTGAGAAGAGATGATGACGATGATGACAATGCAGGTAAGGGTACCTTCCCCTGTATGCTGAGCACATGCTGTATACCGAGTACCTACTGTGAGCCAGGCACTGAGGCTGCCAGGGCCCTGGGATGCTACACAGTGTGTCATTCAATCTTCAGGATGCCCTGAAGATTCATTAGGAATTAGCCAGGACATAAAGGGAGGGAAAGGAGCTCCCAGAAGGGGGAAAACCTGAGCTGGATCTCAGAAACACGGACTGGCCTGGTACATATATGTGTGGCCAGGGCACAGGGCCTTCTGCGCTTCAGGAAGTGAGGCAGAGGCCAGAGCCAGGCTGGAGAGACAGGGCTCCTGGCAGTTCCTGGAGCACAGCCACAAGCCGCGCTCTCTTCTGTCCTCACACTGAGGACATCAGGCCCCCGGAGCCAGTGAGTGTGACCCCCAACCTGGGCTCAAGCAGACTGGAAAGCTGGAACTGGACTCTGCAGGACTTCCGGGCAACAGGTAGGACACAAAGCATGGGCATCCTGGGCAGGGGACAGCAGGAGGCGACCTAAGGAGCTGGGCTAGAGAAGGAACAGGCTGGGTCAGGGGCTTAAACCGGAAGAGATGGGGGTCACCCTGGGCCCTCCCTGGCCAGAGGGCAGAGCAGAAGGTCAGAAAACAGTTGCACAGAGCCTCACATGTGTCAGCTGGAACCACCAAGCTAACGTCCGGGTCCTGCCAGCAGCCAGCCTGCTCTATCTGCCTCCAGCCTGGCCTCTTTCCAGAGGTCCGTGGGTAGGCGCCAGCTCCCCACTCCGGCTTCTGGGCCCTAAGCAAGGCCAGGGATGTGGCCGAACCAGGCGCGATCCAGGACAGTGTCATCTGTCCAGCACTCAGCCTTAAGCAGATGCCCAACAAATGAGATGGATAAACAACGTCAGCATCCCAAGGAGGCAGAGCCGCGTCTCCTACGAAACCCAGCTCCTGTGAAGCTATATACAGAAGGAAGAGGCACCCACCTTGTTCTCAGGTGCCACTTTCCTAACACGAATCTCACACTTTGAAAAAGGAAGCTGGCAGGGCTCAGAGAGAAGATAAGGAGATGCGAGAGAGCCTTGGGTGGGAATTAAGAGACCTGGGTTCGAGTACTGGCCGTGCCACTGTGAAACATGGACACCCTGCAGGAGAGGCTTCTCCAATCTGAGCCTCAGTTTTCCTCATCTGTGAAGTGGGGGCAGACAGGGAAGATTTGAATCCTGATTCTCACCCAGGGGTGCACAGCAGTCATGTAGAGAGCTGTCTCCAGCCCTCTGATGCTGGGCCCTGCCCCAGACCCTCGGAGGCAGAATGACCACACAGACCCTCCTGGACAAATGTTCCCAAAGGTTCTGTCCGGCTTGGAAAGTCCTGGCTCCAAAGACAGCTGAGGCTGCTCTTCCCTCCAACCTTCAGCCTGCTAGGAGGAGGTTTCGAAGGCCACACGGTCAAACCAGCACCCCAGGTGCAGGGAAGGAAGGCTGGACAGACAGACGGACATCACACAGCCACCAGTCTCTGCCCAAGCTCTCATCCTCAAGACAGAAGACCTGAGCCAGCCCCACAGACGCTGTGGCTGCTACGGCGCAGCTCCCTTGGGGAAGCTACACAGGGTACACGGGTAGCTTCAGATTTGAAACTAGGGACCTTGGTGGGGTCACCCCAGGCCTTTACCCCACACACATCCAGTCAGGGACAGATGGACAAATATATCACTCAGTGCTCCATTTCAATTTCTTTAAAAAAAAAAAAAAAAAACCAAAGTTTCAAACCCAGGGAGAGTTAAGCACCCCACGACTCCAAATATCTCCTCCAAGGAAGCAGCACAGGTTCCCGGGGAAGCCCGCAGCCTCCCTCCCAAGGCTGACAGAGGCCGCCTGCAATGACGGTGGCGCCCACGGGTCTGGCTGGAGGGCTGGGCTCACCTTCACACTGCCTGCCTTCCCCCTTGTAGCCTGGCTTGCAGAGGCATTTGTAGGACTTGGGCGTGTTCTGGCAGATGGCATCAATGTGGCAGTCGTCTGTGCCCTCCGAGCATTCGTCCACGTCGACGGCCCCTGTTGGAGGGGGAACCACGAGTGAGGTGTGGCCTGAAGAAGTGGGCAGCTAGCGCGGGGCAGGGAGTTCCTTCTGTCCCTCGCCCTTCCATTGATCACCGGGATAATTAACAGTAACAGCCTTCATGTGACCACCTGGTGTGACAGGCAGTGACTGGTAGCATCTTCGGGGTGGCTACTCTGTGCCAGGCACAACGCTACCAAAGTGCCGGGTCTTATTTATTGTCACAACAATTCCAGTAAGTAGAGCTATTCTTCCCACTAAAAAGATGAGAAAACGGAGGCTTAGGAACAGAACGAGAAGCCTCTCTGTACGTCTTGCTCTCCTCACAAAGCATCTCTCCATCCCTCCTCCACTCTCCTTATTCTAGAATTTAGAGCCAGAAGCCTCCTCGGAGGAATTTAAATCCATCCCCTTTGGGTTACAGATGGGGAAATGGAGGCTAGCATGGCGCACTGAGCAGAGGCCAGCAGGCCCACGAAGGAGATCTGAACGGGGGCCCCACCCAGCCCCTAGGCTGTGGAAATAAAGGATTCTTCACCTGGCCTCCACAGACCCATACCCTCGACGGGGCTAACGGGCCTCAAGGAACGGTTCCGGTCTCCCCAGCCTCCCCACCCTGGAAATCTAGGTTCAGTCCTGGTTCTCTTATTCCAACTTCCAAACCCAAGTTAAAGTTAGGTTGTGAGGGTTCCTGGCATTCCCCACCTCCTGCCCGCAACAACCCGTATACACCTTCAGTTGGAACAGCTGTTGGGCAAATAATGTAGAATAGATTCTGTGTATCTGTGTATACACCTCCCCCCGCCCCGCAGCTCAGACAGGGAGAGGACCCTCGGAGCACGGAACAGCACAGCCAGAAAACGGTAGCTGTAATCTAGGTTCATTCCTCGGGTTATAAATGAGGAAACTGAGGCCCAGAGAAGCCTGTTGCAGGTCGGTAGCTCATTAGGAGCAGAGCCTGGACTCGCCTCAGGGAAGCAGGTCCAGAGCTTTGCTACATGCCGTGTTGCTTCCAGCCAGCCAAGAATAGAATACAGATGGATGACAGACAGACAGAAGGACCCGGAGGGGAGCACAAGGAACTCTCAGTAGCCACCCTGAGGGCAGTCCCCCAGGGGCAAGCCTGGGGAAGTCCTGGAATGTCCTCCTCTCTTCACGCCTCCGGCCACTCCCTATCCTGTCTGGCCCTCAAGACTGTCCACTCTGAATTATTCCCCTGAATAGCCTCTGGGCTCTAAATCTGCATGGGGGCCTCTGTGAGAGAACCACTGCCCCCCGCCCAGGACTCTTCCTCCCTGCCCTAGTCCCCAAGGCCCCAGTCTGCCCCTAAAGGAAGAGAGGCATCAAAAAGAAACACAACAGAATCACCTCCCTGCATGCTCGCGCACGCACATACACGTGCGCGCACACACACACACGCACAAGGTGGCATCCCTTCTCAGGGTGGTTGTATCTGCTCAGGTGAGCAGCCCATCCTCTACAGCTGCCCAGAGGAAGGTGGAACGGGGGCCAGGAGGCAGTCTGTGTAGGAGACCAGAGCCAGCCATCACATGGCCAGGGGCCAGCAGGAACATCGGGCCAGCAGAACATCCCCCTCTGAAGAAGCGACCCCAGAGGGACCCCCGAGAGGGGTGGCACAGCCTCAAGGGCAGGAAGCCAGAGACCAGAGGGGGTCAATGGGCACCCTTCTAGGGGGAGAGGACTGGGGCCGCTTCTGAGACAGGACCAGCAGGGGCAATGGATCACAGATACAGCTCTTCCCACTTCCCAAGGGTCAGTGCACGGTGATGAGGGAGGTAAACTGCCTGGGGCTCTGGAGCCCCTTGTGCCCCCAGTCTCACACGTAGGTACGTGTCTTCGTGGGATGGAAATGGATGGATGTTAGCCAAGAGGCAGTGGGGGCAACCTCCCAACACACCTTTTAAACATGTCTTTCAGTGAGTGCTGGGGAGAGGGCACGCGAGTTCGAGGACAGAGGGAGAGGAAACACAGGCCATGGGTTCTTGCAGGTTCCCTGGCCACAGTCCTGGCCTGGACAGCCCAGCCCAGTCCTCCCATCACAGGTGCTTGTTTGACATTAGTGGTTTCATAGCACAAGGCTTCCATGGGGTGGGGCTGGGGCTGGGGAGTGCAGACAGACACAGCAGAGAGACCAAGACAGAGGGAGACAGGCGCATACAGGAACAATCAAACAGGGCTGAGGGACCTCAAAGCCCAGGAGAGACACCCACAGACACGTGGGGGTGTGGCAGTAGGGCCCAGTTTCCCTTGGGGCCACAGGAAAGACAGCTCGGCTCCAATTGTGGAATAGTTTAAATGGCCCGGCATCCTCACTCAGGGTGTAACTCCCAGGAATAGACCTCCTGCCACCAAATGCAGACCTCAGGGAGCCCCACGCAGCAGCCAGGGGAGCTCAGAGAAGCCAGGGAGAGCGCAGCAGGGTCTCTCCCCTCCCTTCAAGGAGGGAAAGGAAGGAAGCTCCTCTATGGGACAGGGTCAGATGTGGGAGGAGAGGATGTGTCTTCAGCTCTGCGGGACAGCCCCCTCCAGACACCCGAGGGAGCAGGAGGGGAAGGGGTGGAGTGCCGGGGTCCCTGCGAAATCCGTGGGGAGCTCCCACCTCGCCTCTGCTGCCTGCCCTAACCATGTCCCATGCCTGATGCTCGATGCTGGTTCCCTTCTCCTGTGTCTCCTGCCTCTCTCTCCTGGACCCCCTCACCGTGTCCGATGTCTGGGCTCCCCTCCCTCTGGTTCCCATGCATCTCCTTTCGTCTGTGTCTTCCCTCAGCCCTCCCCCTCCTGTCTGTCCATCTGTCCATGGCTTTCCAGCCATCTCCATCCTCCTCTCTTTCCCTCTGTCTCGCTGCCTCCTCCCTCCCCCAGTCCTCCCCCCTCTTTCTCCGGTGCCTCTCCGCTTGCACCTCTCCTTCTCTCTCTTCCTTCCCATCCCTTAGTCCTGCCCTCACACCTCCCTCTTCTGAGCCTTTTCCTTCCTGCTACTCATTTGCCTCCTTACTCCCTTCGGTTCCCTCCTTTCCCTCTTTGGTCTTTCTGGTCTCCACTCTTCCAGTCTGTCTTTCTCTGGGTTTTTTTTCCTGTGTCCTTTTGTGTGCCTCCTTTTCTGTCCGTCTGTCTCTCCATCTAACACCTCCCCCTTCTCTTTCTCTCTGCGTCCGTCCTTTTCCCCTTGCTCACCTCCTCCGGGTCTCCCTTCTGGGCCTCCTGCCGCCCGCGCTCCCGTCTCCCCTGGGGGAGAGCCCGTCTGGCTCCGGGGTCCCCACTCCCTCCCGCCTTCAGGCGGGGAGCGGGGGACGGCGGGGGGCCCTCGGCGGGCCGTCGTGCTTTCTTTCTTCCTCCCGCCCTCACACTCCCCCCACCCACGGGGCTTCAGCCCACCCCGCCCCATGCTGCGGCCCCGCCGGGCTCCGGGAGCCTCGCTCCGCCCGGGCTGCGGGGAGGGGCGCCCCGCGCCGGCCGCAGAAGTTACTTTGCAAAAAGGCAGGGCGGGGCGCGGGGCCGCGCGGGCTCTGGCCCTCCCGACGGCGCGGGGCTGGGGGCCCGGCCGGGACCCTGCCGCCGCCGCCGAGCGCCCGCCGCCCACCGGCTCAGGGCTTACCTGGGAGCCCGCTGCCCCCCGCCAGCCGCCCGCGCGCGCCCAGGACGAGCAGCACACACAAGTGCCAGCGCACGGCCGCCGCGCCCATGCTCACTGCGGGCCGGGCCGTGCGTGCGGGTGTGCGGGGCGCGAGGACCCCGCCGACCGGCCGCTCGGCGACCGCTCGTAGCTGCTGGTTCCGCGGCCAACGCTCGGGCTCACAGTCTCCGAGCCGGCGCGGCTGACGAGCTGACAGCCGCGCGCTCATTGGCCCGCTGCTGCCGGGGGCAGGGCTCCGTGAGAGGCCGGCCAATGGGGGCAGGCCCCCAGCCAGCAGGGGGAGGGGAAGGGAGGGGCGGGGCGGGGCGGGGGGGGTCGGACCGGGCATCTGGGGGCGCCCCCTCCCCTCGGGGCGGGCGGCAGGTGGGGGGTAGGGGCCGGATCGCTCGACCGTGGGGTACGCGGTCTAGGCCAGGCTGGAGCTGCCTCTGAGGCTTCTCCCTCCCTCTGTCCCTGGATCACCGCCCCCCCACCCGCGACCCCCAGCCCCTGTCGTCGAGGGGGGCCGCTCCTTTGGGGGCAGTACCCATCAACCCACCAGCGCGCGCGCGCGCTAACACAAACACACACACACACACACACACACACACACACACACACACACACACACACACACACACACACGAGAGGAGGGGGCCTAACAACCCTCCCTTGGAGGTCGAGAAAGGCCCAGCGGCATCCATTTGTAGTGAAAGAAACGCAAATCGCTCACATTAGAATTGCCCGTTTGTCCATTCGGTAATGTTTATTGAGCACCTACTGTGTGCCAGTCTCTGGCAATGCAGCGGCGAAGAAGCCAGACAGGAAAAAATCCTGACGATCGGTTTAAAAATTTACGTTCAAAACATTGTAAAGCAATTATATTCCAATAAAGATGTTAAAAAAACAAACAAAAAACCCACAAATGAACTATTTACCACTCCCCAAAGGACAATGGCCTGTAAACGTGCTTGTCGTAGGAGTGCCGCAGGATCCACGTCTGGAGGGACGCCAGGAAAACTCCGTGTCTGCTTTGCGGTCAGTCCTGGCCAGCGCAGCCCATCTCGGGGCTGACCTCTTACCCAGCAAAGTTTGATGCCCACCACCACCGCCCCCCCCGCCACGCCCCAGCCCCAGAATGCAAGGCCTAGGGCCGCCGAGTGCCAGAGTCCGCGGGATGGTGGGCTGGGGGCAGGCAGAGCAAGCCTCAGGTCTTTCCACCCAAGAATTGCTCTGGCCTGGCCTGGAGTCTACACCTGACTCCTTTGGGACTCAGACCTGAGACCCCCGCCTGGGAGGTGAGGCTGGAAATAAATGGCCCTTCTCAGCCCCAGGCAGGACGCTTTAAGGGAAGAAAGTTCAGCAAACCCCAAGGCCCATCTCCTTGACAACCACCAATAAGAGCTCCTTTTTTCTTCTCCTGCTCTCCAGGCCTGCCTGAAAGACAAGACTTTCCTCTTTTTGTCCACTCTGCTTGCACCAGTCCACACCCAACTTTCCTCTCCCCACCAGCTCCCATCCTGCCCCCAACACACACACACACACACACTCACATACACCCTCCAACACACACCCTCAGTCATACATGCTCTCACTCATACACACACTCATATACATCCTCACAGACACATACCCTCACACACACTTCAAGCACGCAGCCTCTCACACACAGACACGTGACCACACACACACTCACGCAACCTTCTGTAGGCAGTCTCCGCAGCCCTGGAAAGTTGAATCTGTCCAGCCACCTTGCTCCCAATCCGACTTCAGATCACAAACAGCTTGGCACTGGCCTGCTGGCTGAGGCAAGGGGTCCCCCACGTGCAGAGAAGGCCAGCCTTACGCCCCATCACGCCAGACACTTCCTTCCATGTGGTTGCTCCAGCTGGTGGCTCAATGTGGGAGACCCTGCTGTCAGGCTTTATTTTGCCCTCCTCCCAGTGGTGTGGCTTCGGGTTTCTGGGGGAGAAAGTTCTTGTGCGTTAGGTAACAGGACAAGAAAGGTGAGTTGGGGCAGGAGGGCAGGTCCTTTCAGGGGCTCTAACCAACTAGAAACAATGCCCTTTAATGTGCTTGTTCGTCAGGGGGCCCCTCACCCCTGGCCAGGTGCCTCCCAAGCTTGACGGTAGCAGGGGATTCTTCTTCCAGGCTCTGTCCCCCCAGATCAAGGAGGAAATGGAAGCAGGGTGGTGGCCTGTTAGACTGTGACCCCCCAGATCCCGGAGGCAGTACTCACTCACTCACACCAAGTCCAGTCCCTAGCCTGCCCCTTCAGGGCGTGCAGAGAAAAAGTGGTTCCTTCCAGGAGGAGATCATGGTCTGGGCTTAGGAGTCAGGGAGCAGAGGAGGAGGGGGCTGGAGACACACACTCAGAAGCCCCCCAGGTATGCACTGAAGGAGGTGGCAGAGAAAGAGGTGGTCGCTTCTGCCCCAGGGGTGGTCAGGAAGGCCTCCCAGGGCACATGACCCTAGAATTGGGCACCAAGTATGAGTAGGAGATTTCCGAAATGGACAAAACCACGTGCAAGGTGTGAGGGAGAGAAGGTGGGGGCCTAGGAGTGGATATCCTCAAAGCACCTCGCAAACTGTTAAGTGCTGCACATGGGTGATGGTGGCATGGAAGACAGCTGCTCACTGAGACTGTGGTGTCTGTGCAGCCAGGATGGGCTGGTGGGGCGAGATCCCGTTTGTCTGGACTCCAGCCAGGGATGTCTCGCAGCCTCTGGAAACTGAGCTAAGCGAGTGAAGGCCCAGGCATGAATCAGACAGTCACTTTGGGAGGGAACATTCCATGGCTCCCCATCACTTTCCACACAACCCGTGAACATTTTGTGGGACACCCTTTGCCCTCCCCAGCGGTCCTCTCCTTGACAAACCACTGGCAAAGACGGCCTCACAGACATCTTGCTTTCACACCTCCAAGCCTTTGCCCACGTGCCTCCCTCTGCCAGGATCGCCCTTACTTCCCTCCTTCACGAGGCTCACCCCTCCTCTTCTGCCCACCCCTGCCTCCAGGCAGGGTGTAGGGTCTCCCCTGGGCTCCGACAGACCCTGGGGCTTCCCCATCAGAGTCCAGCTCACCCTGGGTTTCACATCGTTTCTTCCCAGACTGGGTGTTCCCGAAAGTGGGGCTCACAGCTGATCCACGTCTGGAGTCACAGCTCCCAGCTGGGGCCTAAGAAATGATTGTTGAATAAATGAATGAACGGACAAAGAAGCAAGACAGACATCACTTAACTGAGAATTCGTATTATTCCAGGGAGCGGTAAAGATTCTTTGGCTATTTGATGCGACCTTGGGGAATGAATCCAGCTGCCCTCTCTCTCCTGGGCACCTCCATCCTCTGTGCCTCTGAGTTGGCCAGCAGAACCACTGTCCTCTGGGGCCCTTTGGGTCCCCCTGCTGACACCTCGCAGAGGCCTGAGGAGCAGCAGAGGGGAGAGGAGGAAAGGAGCGCTTCTGTTCCTTCCAGGCACACAGCCTCTGCCACCCCGACTCCAGCCTGCTGACCCCAGTCTTCAGCATAAGAAGAACTTACTTTTTTTTAAATTTCTTCAGGAAGAATTCTCTTGATTAAAGACAGTTGTTCTTTAAAAACAGAAATTTCTTTGAGAAAATAAAGTTCTCTGCAGGCATGAAATGTCATTACAGGGATGGGAAGCCTTGATCTTGGTGATTTTAGATGCTTCTGTCATCCTCTTATTGAAAATGAACCTTCATAATAATACCGCTTCGTGTTTGCTCACAAAGACCTCCAAGGCTAGTTTTTTTTTTTTGTGATCGCTGGGTGACCATGGGCCCCACAGGTCAGGTTCCTTGGTTCAAGCCCCTACTTGTCAAATGAGGGTCTCAGTCCCCAGGAGCCCTGGACACCTTCAGCTCACGTTCCAGACTCCTCTGAAACAACCCTCCTGAGATTCAGCACTCAAGGGATTCTGACCTACCGTCTGCCTCTTTCCCCAATTATAACAACAGGTACCACGTATGGAGTCTCCCTGTGTACCCAACACTGTGCTCAGACGTCCTGTGCGTTACATCATTTATCCTGAGAGGTAGAAACTGCTACCGCCCCCACCTTACACCTGAAAAAACGGAGACTCACAGCCCACTTGCTGGGACCACAGAGCCAGCCAGTGGCAGACGTGGGATCCGAACCCAGGTCTGTGCGACTCCCAAAGACATGCTCCAAGCCATTACGGCTAATAAAACCCACTTGAAGGGAGTTAGGGTGCTCCTACCTGTAATCACAAAGTGTTACTTTTTTGGTTTTGATATTGAGAAGAGTGGTTTTTACATAGTGGCCAAATTGTAACCGTTCGCAATTCATATGGTTGATTTGAGGTACTACCCAGTTTTATGCTCCCCATCTTTCTAACAGGTCCACCCCCCCCCAACCCATCTAGCATGGCAATACTTCACTCTGGGATACTGGGAGGAGCTGTGTAGAAGTGGGAAGCGGGAAGGACGTGACACACACACGTACCCCTACCCATCCCCTCAGGGGTGTATGTGTGGAACTGACTCAAGCAGCAAGGCCATAGACACATCCACAGCAAAAGCTGCAAGTGAATCCTGGAGACATCCCGGCTTCACAGAGGTGGCAGCCTCAGCACAGCCCCGCAGGTCTGCTGCCCCATGGACGCGTCCACCGGAGCCCCGCAGGCACCTCAAACTCACCAGCTGGGCCCTCAGCTCCTTCTGCCCAAGCCTGCTCCTCTGAGGGCCCCCTGCCTTGGGGCTGGCATCTCGCTCCGCTCCCCTCCCCACCCACCAAGCCGTGTCAATGCCACATAAGCTCTCCTCTCCATTCCCCGGGCCGCTGACTTAGTTGAGATGACACCAGCTCTCACCCACATGACTCCACAGAGGCTCAAACCCATACCCACCAGGGTAGCTGGAGTCGGTGCTCAAAGACAGACCTGACCTCTCCCGTCCTTGCTGCCTACAGGAAAAAGTCCACTCGGGACCGTGGGAGATGGGTCCACCCTCTGCCTGGTAAAGCCCCACGCTTCCCCTCTGCTCCATGCTGCCTCACACCTCTGAGCCACAGCTCACTCCGTTCCCTTCTCTCACAATGCCCTTCCCCATCCCTGTGCCTGGCAGACCACACTCAAGGCTC